CTGTTTTCTTCCGCATTATATTTTTTGTCGACGTAGTGTTGAAGACGCAGTGGCGGGCAACGTTTATCGCCTGGCGTTATCCCGCGTGGAATTGTCTCGCGGCCACTTTGCCGCAACGAGATGGTCACGCCAGGTTGTAAGAAGTAGCAAGAAGGCCCGTGGCGAGTTGTCGCATTCTGGCCACAGAGTAGCCCCCTCCTCACAATTAAGGGGTATAGGCATCTAGGTGGGATTCGGGGGGGGGGTACTTCCTCCAAAACTAACTCTGGACATCCTCTCTACACCAACCCCCCCCCAAAACCCCACTTGTCCAAACTGAGCTGCAACAATTTGAGCATCATTCAAGTTAAGACTCGGAGGTCGGAGACCCTTATGAGAGAGGATAGGGACCCCGAAGCCCTCTAACCGAGGGGCACCTTCCTGAGCTGGGAAGTCAACGGAGCATTTCAAGTGCTCTGCTTAAACCTATCATGAGCCCCAAGAGAAGACGAACTGGGCACCCGTTTTCCCAGACAGTTTTGGGGTGCAATTCCCCCAGATGTTGCTCCGATCCAGAGGTCTTCAAAATTGGCAACTTTTAAGACTTAGTGGACTTCAACTCCCAGAATTCTCCAGCCAGCATAGCTGGGAATTCTGGGAGTTGAAGTCCACAAGTTTTAAAGTTGCCAAGTTTGGGGGACGTCTGCTCTAAACTCTTTCTGGGCCTCAAGTTTTTTGGTCCTGAATTGGTCTAAAGATTTACAGAGGCCAGGAAGAGAATAATAAAAAACGCACGATGCAGAAAATACAGATTCTTCTGGAAGTAGTTTCTTGGCCTTCGAAGAAATAAATGATATATTTGTTTACAAGGAAACGACAAGAGACTCTCCTCGGCCGCCAAGTTTGCAAAAATGCAGATTTTTTCCCCCTCCCTCTTCGGGCTGCGGTTAAGAAGGTGGAACAATTCAGTGCATGAATACACTCCGCGCCACTGGAAGTGTTACTGACACAGACTTTTAGAAAACCCTGATTTCCAGAAAAAAGGAAAAAACAGCAAAAGGAAAGGACCACATCGCACATACACACCCGCCTACGAAGAACCCCAGGGAAGGCGAGGTGCTTCGGAGGGTACCGACACGAGGCAGATAACGCAACGGGGGTTGATGAAAAGGCAAAAAAATTAAAGGAAAATTACCAAAAAAAACCCACACCTCACATGCGTTTTGGCACCAGTTGGCAAAAACAAAACATCCCATCTTACTTTTCAAATACCTTTTTTTTAAAAAAAAAATTAAATTAAAATATAGCAAAGCGGTTGGTAATGAGCCAAGAAAGGAGACGTTAAAACAGTTCAGCTACTCCGAAAGGGTTGTGCAAAACACAGGAGACAATTCGGCTAAATTGGGGGGTGGGTGGGGAAACGGGCTTTCCAGTTGACAGAAGAGATGTTAAGTCTTTTGACACGTAGAGCGAATGGGGTGGGTGGGTGNAGCAATGGGTGGAAACTAATCAAGGAGAGAAGCAACTTAGAACTGAGGAAGAATTCCCTGACAGTGAGAACAATTAACCAGTGGAACAGAAGTTGCCTCCAGAAGTTGTGGGTGCTTTTAAGAACAGGTTGGACAACCTTCCTTCTGTTTGAAACGATGTGGACTCTCCTGCTTGGGCAGCGGGGTGGACTGGAGGACCTTTTAAGGTCTCCTCCCATTCTGCATTCTGAAAGGAGCTTCCTCAGCCTCCTTCACAACGGCCGCATTGAGATTGGCCGAACTGCGAAGCTTTCGGATGGGAGCCAGCCCATCTCTGGCCCGTTTCAAATTCCTTCCCTCCGGTCTCGTTTCTGGCCAGCTGCTCCTTCAAAACACCCTTTCGAAACCCCCTGATATCCGAGACCCCCCCGGGGGCACCTGACAGCCACGTGGCTGGAAACGGGGAGTCTGGTCACTGGAAACACAAAACAAGTTGCCAAAGATTGTGGCTCCTGTTACAAACACAAGCCCGGAGGTTGCATGAGAAATCTATATCTATATATAGATATAAACACGGCCGTGTGTGTCTCTGTCTGTGTGTGTTCCAGCATAACTCTGGAACGCCTTGAGCAATTTCAACCAAACTTGCAACACAGAGGACGTACTCCCTGGAGAGAAATACTGTGGGGGTAAGACACCCCTCACACCCCTCGGGGGGTGTATTCTGTTAAGATACAGCCTGTTGTGCGGCTTCTACTGTACTGCTGCAAAACGGCTTCTACTGTACAGCGCAGTGGAGTTGCCAACGGCTTCACACTTCTCCATGAGGGGGCTCCCTCCGGTAAGGGGGAAAATCCAACATTAGAAATTACGTTTGGTTATGGGCTAGTAGCAGAATAATAACAGAATAAAGGAAGGGAAGGGGCCTTGGAGGTCTTCTAGTCCAACCTCACGCTTGAGGACGACCCTATACAGGTCGTTCTCTACTTATGACCAAAACCGAGCCCAAAAGTCTATTGCTAAGTGAGTTTTGCCTCCTTTTACAACCTTTCTTCTCACCGTTGTTGAGTGAATCACTGCAGTCGTTAAGTGAGTCACCCGGTTGTTAAAGTGAATCTGGCCTCCCCATTGACTTCGCTGGTCAGAGGTTCACAAAAAGGGATCACGTGACCACCACCCTGGGACACTTGGCAACCGTCATATAGGTGAGTCAGTTGCCAGGACCAGGGGTTACGGGCAGTCCTCAACTTATGACCACGACGGAGCCCCCAAATTTCCTTTGCTGAGTGAGATGGTCACTAAGTGAGCTTCACTTCATTTTACGACCCTTCTCGCCACGTTTATTAAGTGAATCGCTGCGGCTACGGGATTACCTTAGCAACACAGTTGTTAAGCGAAGCACTGTGGTTGTTAAGCTAGTAACCTGGTTGTTAAGTGAATCCGGCTTCCGCCCACGGACTTTGCTCGTCAGCCGGTCGCAAAAGGGGATCACGTGACCCCCGGACGCTGCAACCGTCATAAATATGAGTCAGTGGCCAACCGGCTGAATTTTGATCATGTGACGGCAGCGGTCGTAAGTGTGAAACACGGTCCCTTTTTTTCCTAGGGCGGTTGTAAACTCCGAACAGTCACTAAATCAATGTTTCTCAACCTTAGCAACTTTAAGTCCTATGGACTTGAACTCCCAGAATCCCCCAGCCAGCTTTGCTGGCTGGGGGATTCTGGGAGTTGAAGTCCACAGGACTTAAAGTCGCCAAGGTTGAGAAACACTGCACTAAATGAACTGTTGTACGTCGAAGGCTCCTTGCATGTGTGTGTGTGTGTGTGTGTGTGTGTGTGTGTGTGTGCCCCCCCCCAGCCCCCCGTTCCAGCCGCCTGTGCCCACCTGGCCAGGAGGATGCCCTGGTACTCTTCCAGCTGGCGCATGAAGCTGGGGTTGGGTTTGGTGACGGTGCGGCGGTCCTTGACGTAATCGTAGGCCCGGTCGAGGTTCCAGCCGTACTCCTTCATGGCGTAGGCGATGACGGTGGAGGCCGACCGGCTGACCCCCATCTTGCAGTGGACCAGGCACTTGGAGCCGTTCTTCCTGGGGGGGGGAAGGGGGGGCACAGCAGGAGGGAAGGAAAGAGAAGAGAGGGTCAGCGCATTATGTCCACAAGGAGGGAAGGTTCTGGCCATTGCCCGGCGCCTGCCCGTCCGTCCATCCGTCCACCTACCCAGCCCATCTGTCCATCTCTCATCCATCCATCCACCGAACTGTCTGTCTGTCCCTCTATATACCTACTATCCATCCATCCATCCATCCATCCATCATGTCTGTCTGTCTATTTGCATTCTCTTTCTCATCTATCTGACTGTTCATCTGTCTATATCTATCCATCCGTCCGTCCGTCTTTCTGCAATCTCTCTCTTTCATCTGCCTGCCTGTCCCTCTGCCGATATCCTTCCATCCACTCATCCATCCCCTCCCCCCTATATCTATATATCCATTCCATCCATCCATCCATCCATCCATCCATCCATCCATCCATCCATCCATCCATCCATCCAGTCTGGCTGTTTATCTGTGTATTTGTCTATCTGCAATCTCTCTCATGTCTGTCCCTCTATATCTCCATCCATCCTATATCTATCTATTCCATCCATCCATCCATCCCTCCATCCATCCATCTATCTACCATCCATCCATCCATCCATCATCTCTCACTAACTCTTATCCATCCATCCATCCATCCATCCATCCATCCATCCATCCATCCATCCATCCATCCAGTCTGCCTGTTTATCTGTCTATTTGTCTATCTGCAATCTCTCTCTTTCATCTGTCTGTCCCTCTATATCTCCATCCATCCTATATCTATCTATTCCATCCATCCATCCATCCATCCATCCATCCATCCATCCATCCATCCATCCATCCATCCATCCATCCAGTCTGCCTGTCTATCTGTCTGCAATCTCTCTCATCCGTCTGTCCCTCTCTCTATATCTCCATCCATCCATCCATCCATCCATCCATCCATCCATCCANATCTATCTATCTATCTATCTATCTATCTATCTATCTATCTATCTATCTATCTATCTATCTATCTATCTATCTATCATCTAGAATCTCTCACTCACACACACACCTGCCTGCCTGTCTGTCTCTCAATATCTATCTGCAATTCCTCTCCAGGAGAGGCTGTGTGTCCCCATCTCACCTCCAGCGGGGGGCTATTCCACACGGTGGGGGCAAAGGCAGAGAAGGCTGCCTTCCTGGACCCCAAAGTTTCTATTTCTATTGTTCCCCCACTTATCACCCCACTATTTTTATTGTCTCCCCCCACCCCCATCTATAGCTTTAAAATAGGGCTCTCCAAACATAGCAACTTAAAAGACTTGTGGACTTCAACTCCCAGAATTCCCCAGCCAGCATGGCTGCCTAGGGAATTCTGGGAGTTGAAGTCCACAAGTCTTAAAGTGGCCATGCTTGGAGACTTCTGCTGTAGAAGGCCCTAGGAGTGATGGGGGCCATCTCAAAATGCCCCCCCCATTGGTCTTAGGTACCTTCAGCTGCTCCTCCTCCACAGAGGAGGCCTCCGAGGCCTGTGGCGAGCTGCCCGCGGAGGCACTTGGCTGGGCCTGCTCGGTGGGATCGCAAGGCAGCAGCTCCAAGGCCAAGATCCGGGGCGTTCCATTCCGCCCGTTGCCCGCGTCTTCCGCCCGGGATGAGGCCCGGGGCCTTTTCTCCTGCGAGAGCTCCACAAACTTCTCCAAAGCGCTGAAGAAGTCGATCCGATCCGTGCCGAAGTCTCCTCCGGCCGTGGCTTCCTCCTCCTCTTCTTCTTCCTCTTCCTCCTCCTCCTCCTCCTCCTCTTCTTCCTCTTCCTCCTCCGGCTGAGAAAGGTTGGCGGGCGGGCTGGGCGTGTCTCGCAAGCAGGACTCCAACTCCTCCATGGGCACCAGGTGGACGTTCCCGTCGCCGGGTTTGAGGGCGTCGTTTTCCAAATCGGACACCGCCAAATCGGGAAACCCGCCGGCCGATTTCATGGCGCCCCCCCCTTGCTGAAGTAAACTCTCGGGTGGGTTGCAGTTGTCGAGGGGCGACTCGGACTCCGCCGGGCAGCCGCCGGAAGGGCACCCGTTGAGGTTGTTCAGATTCAGCTGGTCTTCCATCTGCTCGGCCTCGAAATCCCGGGGAGCGATTTGTAACTGGATGACCCTCTCTTTGCCTGGAAGGTTCGCCAAAGGCCCGGAGCCCAAATGGCACAGCAAAGGTCCGTGCGGGCTGGCGGCCATCCCCACGGGCACCGCCACGAGGCTGCCGGAGGACTTGCTGTCAGAGATGCGGTCGGCCGAGGTGGTGATTTCCTTTTTGCTGACCTCCATGCCCGATTTGCCGATGGGCTCGTGGTGGTCGGAGAGATCACTGTCCGAGTGTGAACGCCAGAGCTTGTTGTGACGTTGTTTGCTGTGGAGGGAGACAGAGAGAGAGAGGGAGGGAGGGTGTGTGTGGGAGGGAGAGGGTGTGAGACAGAGAGGGAGAGAGAGGAAGGGAGGGTGCGAAGGAGAGAGAGAGGGACGGAGGAAGAGATGGGGAGAGAGAGAGAGGAAGAGAGGGGGAGAGAGAGAAAGAGAGAGGGAAGGAGGAAGAGGATGATAGCGAGGGAGAGAGAGGGAGGGAGAGGGAGGGAGAGAAAGAGGAAAGAGAAAGAAAGAGAGAGAGAAATAGAGGGGGAGAGAGAGAAAGAGAGAGAAAGAGAGAGGGTAGGAGAGGGAGGAAGAGAGGGAGAGGATGATAGCGAGGGAGAGAGAGGGAGGGAGAAGGAGGGAGAGAGGGAGAGAGAGAGGAAAGAGAAAGAAAGAGACAGAGAGAAATAGAGGGGGAGAGAGAGAAAGAGAGAGAAGGAGAGGGAGGAAGAGAGGGAGGGAGAGGGAGGGAGAAAGAAAGACACAGAGAGAAATAGAGGGGGAGAGAGAGAAAGAGAGAGGGAAGGAGAGGGAGGAAGAGAGTGATAGCGAGGGAGAGAGGGGGAGGGAGAAGGAGGGAGGGAGAGGGGGAGAGAGAAAGACAGAAAGAGGGAAGGAGAGAGAGAAAATGGAGGGTTCTTTTAATTCATTTATTTTACACACAGATAGTGTTCAACTTATAGTCATTTATTTAGAGACTGTTTGAAGTTACAGCAACAATAAAAATTACTGTTGGATTAAAAAAACCATGTTTTTTTTTAAAAAAATGCTTTAAAAATATCGGGGTTTTTAAAAAATTTAAATCAGATGTTTTAAAATCAAATGTTTTTTTTTAATATAATGCCTTTGGAGTAAAAAAAAAAATCTATCCAAATGTCGTTTTCTACGTCAGATGCGTTAATCGTTGAGTTTTTGCTCCGCGTGGAGGGAGCTTCGTTACGCAGCCTGAGGAGGCTGAAGATGCGGCGATATCGACATTTTTGGGCGACTCCCCCAAAGCCTCCGGGATCTGCAAAGTCTCCCTAGGAAACCTTCATTTCCTTTGCAAATCACCCCACGGAAGGTTCCAACTGCCATCCAGGAGTCCTTCCATTGAAAGAGCGCCTGGCATTTCAGACCCACCCAGGGAGCGCCTGGGAGCGGGAATCCACTCGCCTGCTGCCCGCCACGTCCCTCACCTGGTAGTGTCCTCGCCGCATCACCCGCCGCCCCATTGAAGTGAATGGGACGGTCGGTGAGTCAACTGCGGCTCAGAGGAGGAGCCGCTGCGGCTCTTTAAAGAGCATGATTTAAATCGAATGGATTTAAATCAAGCCTTTTTATGAGTGATTTAAATCACGCTGATTTAAATCACGATTTAAATCGTCGTGGTTTAAATCACGATTTAAATCGTCGTGATTTAAATCACGATTTAAATCGTCGTGATTTTAAAAAGCGTGATTTAAATCGTCGTGGTTTAAACCAGCGTGATTTAAACCGTGGTTTAAACCAGCGTGATTTAAACCGTGGTTTAAACCAGCGTGATTTAAACCAGTGTGATTTAAACCAGCGTGATTTAAATCGTCGTGGTTTAAACCAGCGTGATTTAAACCGTGGTTTAAACCAGCGTGATTTAAACCGTGGTTTAAACCAGCATGATTTAAACCAGTGTGATTTAAACCAGTGTGATTTAAACCGTGTTTTAAACCAGCGTGATTTAAATGGTGGTTTAAACCAGCGTGATTTAAACCAGCGTGATTTAAACCAGCGTGATTTAAACCAGCGTGATTTAAACCAGCGTGATTTAAACCAGCGTGATTTAAACCGTGGTTTAAACCAGCGTGATTTAAACCGTGGTTTGAACCAGCGTGATTTAAATCGTGGTTTAAACCAGCGTGATTTAAATCGTGCTTTAAATCAGCGTGATTTGAATTGTGGGTTAAATCAGCGTGATTTAAATCAGTGTGATTTAAATCAAATCCCCCCGCTTTGTACCGTTGTTTGCACTTACGACGCTGGCAACACCCCCCAGGGCCACATGATCCAAATTCCGACATTTGGCAACCGGCATAGAAAGCTAATCCTTGACTCACAACAATTTGTTTCACAGTTACAACGGCACTGGAAAAAGGGGCTTATGGCCGTTTTTCACACACGCATGACCTGTGATCAAAATTTGGACACTTGGCAACTGACTCATATTTTTGACGGTCGCAGTTCATGTGATCCCCTTTTGTGACCTTCTGACGAGCAAAGTTAACCCAGACCCACTTAACGACTGTGCTACTAACTTAACAACTGCTGTGATTGACTTAATGACGTCGGCAAAAAAAAAAAAGAGTTGTAAAATTCACTTAACAAATGTTTCACTCAGCAACAGAAATTTTGGGCCCCGCTGTGGTCCTAAGTCGAGGACTGCCTGTATTTATGACGGTTGCAGCGTCCCGGGCTTATGTGATCGCATTTTATGAGCAAAGGGAATGATACTGACTTATCAACCGTATCACCGACTGAACGTTTGCAGGGATTCACTTAGCAACGGGGACCAAAAAAGACTGCAAAATGAGGCAAACAGCCTCGCTTAACGACAGAAACCTGGGGCTCAATAGCGGTGATACGTCGAGGACTACCCGAGGGAGAAGAAATATTACGCAAGGCTTTTGCAGACTTGAGCAAGGAGAGGTGAAGGAGAAAAACAGGACGGAGGGGATCCGCTCGGGATGAACCTCTGAGGTCTCCAGAGATCAGGTTGCTTTGTCCCTTGACTGGGCCCTCCGTCCCGGTCACACGCTCTGGCCACCGGTCAGCTGCCGGTCCTGTTTGGCCACCTGTTCCCAGGAACCCTGCGGCCTCTTTCCAGGAAGAAGGAGAAAGGTGCCAGGTCACCTCCTGCGGCCCCCAGCCCTGACCAGGGGAAGGGTCAGCCATGTCAGCCCAAGGACCCTCTGGCTGCCCACCAGGGGTTTCTCTTTCTCTGAAGACATTTCGCTTCTCAGCCAAGAAGCTTCTTCAGATCTGACTGGATTGGGGGGGGGGGGGGGGGNGCTGGCTGGGGGATTCTGGGAGTGGAAGCCCACCCCTCTTAAAGCATTGCTGGCTGGGGGATTCTGGGAGTGGAAGCCCACTCCTCTTAAAGCATTCTGGCTGGGGGATTCTGGGAGTGGAAGTCCTCCCCTCTTAAAACAGGCTGGATGGGGGATTCTGGGAGTGGGAGTCCATCCCTCTTAAAGCACGCTGGCTGGGGGATTCTGGGAGTGGAAGCCCACTTCTCTTAAAACAGGCTGGATGGGGGATTCTGGGAATTGAAGTCCACAGATCTTAAAGTGGACACCCCTGATCCAAGTTGTACAATTCTTCCAAAACTGAACTCTCCGTTCTACCATGCTGCACGCAGAATCGCAACCCATGAGTCAATTTTGGGGAATTTACTCCAACTGTGGAAGCGGTTTCACTAGTGGAACTGGAAGTGAGGGGTACATTTGTGTGAGACTATCCGGTGGCAGGAAAGCCTCACCAGAAAGACGTGGTCAAAGATCTGCGTGGGGCTGTCCATCTGGCCCAGAATGACGATCATTTCATTGTCAATGAATTCCTTAAATTCGCGCAGGTTGCACGCCATCTGCATTTCCAGCTCCGTTCGGATCTGGGGTGGGAAGGAGTGAGAGATAATAGAATGTAATAGAATAACAGAGTTGGAAGGGCACCCTAGAGGTCTTCTAGTCCAACCCCCTGCTTAGGCAAGAAACCCTACGCCACTTCAGACAAATGGCTCTCCAACATCTTCTTAAAGACTTCCAGTGTTGGAGCATCCACAACTTCTGGTGGCAAGTTGTTCCACTGGTTAATTGTTCTGACTGTCAGGAAATTTCTCCTCAGTTCTAAATTGAGGCGGCCTTAAGGGAAGAGGACTCGGCTTTCCCAAAACATTTTTTGCAAAAATAAATTAAGAAATAAACAAGTAATTTAAAAATGAAATATTTTAAATAAAACAGGCAAAACAATTTTAAGTAAAATACAGTTAGTCCTCGAGTTACGGGCACAGATTAGAAGAGTTGGGAGGGACCTTGGAGGTCTTCTAGTCCATCCCCCTGCTCAAGCAAGAGACCCAAGACAATTTCAGAGAAACAGTTGTCCAGTCTCTTCTTTAAAAACTCCAGCAAGGAAATCCTGCAACTTCTGAATGAAAACCTTTCCACTGATTAATTGTTCTCACTTTGTCAGAATTTTTCTCCTTTACTCCAGGTTGAGATTCTGTCCTTCCTTCCCCTCATTTTCCTTCCTTCCCTCCCTTCTACCTTCCTTCCTTCTCCTCATTTCTTTCCTTCCTTCCTTCCCTCCCTTCCTTCCCTCCCCTCATTTTCCTTCCTTCCTTGCTTTTCTCTTTTCTTTTTCTTTTCTCCCTCCCTTCCTTCTCTACTTCCTTCCTTCCCCTTCTTCCTTCCCTTACTTCTCCCCTCTTTCTTCTCCTTCCTACCCTCTCTCCTTCTCTTTCTCTCTCTTCCTCCCTCCTTGGCTAGTTTCTATCCGTTGATGGAGACTAGCCAAAGAGCGCCCGTTCCCTGATCCCCAAAGGTCTCCCTTCCCACCCCACTCACCTCCTTGGACGTGATGTTCTCCAGATCCTTCTGCATCATAATCTCTCGCAGCTTGGTCTTGATCAAGCGTTCTGTCCGCTCGCGCTCCGTGGGGCTGAAAGGAGGGAAGCCACAAGGGGGAAATCAGGAGGAAATGGACGCGGGCGAGGAAGGGCCTCGGGGGTTGAAAGGGGTGCAGAATCTGACAGCACCCCACAACCTCTTGTCTTCCTGGCTCTCTTTCCCTCTGGCGCATCTGTGGTCGGCATCTATGCATTCAACTTAATTTATTTTAAGGTAAAGGTAAAGCTTCCCAGGAACATATCTGCCAGTCATTCCCGACTCTAGGGGGCGCTGCTCATCTCTGTTTCAAAGCCGAAGAGCCAGCGTTGTCAGAATACGTCTCCGTGGTCATGTGGCCGGAATGACTCAACGCCCGAAGGCGCACGGAACGCTCTTCCCTTCCCACCAAAGGTGGCTCCTATTTTTCTACTTGCATTTTTTACGCGCTTTCG